AAAACTATGAAAAAATAAAAAAGCTGAATTTTGCATTTACCCCCATCTTGCATGGTGAAGCTGACCACGTAGGGAGAGGAAGTTTCTTATGAGCTGAACGTGACAAAGGTTTTGACGAGAGTGAGGTCGCAGGCAAGCTCCACTTCTTTAAAGAAATAAATCTTTGCTCAATTGATTCTTAGTGATGTTTGGATCAGGTCCACGGTTTCTTACAGGCGGAATTCAGCCTCCCACATTTGTTGTCTAATTAAAATGAGGAATAGTGGTATTAAGCCAGTGGAATTGCTTTGGACAAATCCCAAACTGGAGACCAGCATTGGGCCCCTATACCTTTAGGTATTAGGTATTTTAAATTAAGATTGCATGTGGTTTTAAAAGGCATTGTCAGAGCAAAAGCAATTTAACAAAAGGCAATGTATCTGGCGACTACTCTTCTGCCTGCCAAGTGCTCTTCTCCGCAAGTGCATTGTAGGGATGGCAGATTACATCTCCTGAATATTTTTGTCTGTTGCTTGGTTCATTTTCATAATAATAACTTGCATCCTTCTATATCCTTTCATGTTGAAGGGTTGCAAACTATTACACAAACAGACCCACTCCTGAGATGCAGCCATCTCCAAGGGGAAAGACGAAAGCTTTCAGGGAGCAGGCAGCGGCCGCCCCGGCGGGGGCTGTTGAGCACAGTGCCCTCTGGATGGGGTGCCGAGGGGCTGCTGGGGAGCCCCCGTCTGCAGCGCACCCCACCTTACGCCACCAGTGTATACCGTGGCATGTAGAACCATTTTGCGGGCCCCCGTCCTGCCTGCGGGGCGGGGGGGAACCCGCAAAGGGGGCTGTGCTGCTAGCACGCTCTGCGCTCGCTGCTGGGGCAGCACTTGGGCTTGGGGCGGGGGAAATCCAAAGCATAGACAGCCCTTATTTTCCATGTTGTGTATGAACTATTCTGGATCGGTGGAAGTAAGGGCTTTGCAGTGGTGTCGAGCGGGAGCAGTGCGCACTGAAGCATCCTCTGCTGCTTTCCCTGTCAGCCAAAACAGGTCGCCTCCTTGTTTCAAAACAAGACCCAAAATACTGTTTTTCTGGGGGCAGAAAAAACGGCTAGCTGCTTCTTCAGATCCACCGTGTCACTGATAACGTGCCTTAGATAACTAACGTGTCCCAGCAGTGACACCTCAAAGCCCTGAAAAATCCTTTGCGAGGCTGCCAGGCTGCCTCCGCCCCAGCAAGCAAGTTGCTCTGCTCGGTTTCACCACGCCAGGTAGGGGCTTACAACATTTTAATGTTGTTTCCCAACAGCCAGGATGGCAGAGCGTTCATATTCGAGTCTGAAAATATTGGCCTTGAAGTGCCTTGTCTAGAAACGCTGGTTTTTATCGTTCGGGGCCAGCGGCTGGGCAGACGTGAATTAAGGCCAGCCCAGTGAGCACCAGCAGCGGCGGTGGCGGAGGACGAGGCCAGCAGGCTTTCTGCTACATGTGCTTGGGAAGAGCAATTAAACGGTGCAGACGCAGCGCGGTAAGCGTTGTTTTCAGCTGCAGGTTCTTCGAAACCACGTTCTCGGTGTCGCTGATATTTTTTCCAGCGTTTCGGCCCGGCTAGCGACAGGCCCTCCCTGCCTCCCAGCTCCTCCAGCGCCGGTGCTGGGGGGCTGGAGATTAAACGCAGACCCTGGCGTGGGGCGGCATTTCCATAAGTGCTGTTTGCGAAGGCAGGTGCTATTCCTTACATTATCGCCAGAACATTTAAATCTTAATGACTGGCATTGTTGTCTCAAAGACGGGGGTTTTTCTGC